ATATATATATATATATATATATATATATATCGTCAAATAGAACTGCCCGGTAAACCATAGGCAGAGAGGGAGAAGAGGACAACAAACGAGGGGCTATATATATATATATATATATATATATATATATATTCTTTCAGGTTTTGGATTTGTAAATCGAGCTTCATTGGGAATTCGAGTATGACTCCCAAGCAAAAGTTGTTTCTAAGCTACCAAAGCTCGGGGTCACTTGATTGGCCGAGCCAAAAAAAAATCAAAAATAAAAAGTAATAAAGATATTTTAAAAATTTATATTTTATTTTAAATTTAGTAAAGAACTTCGATCTGACCATTGGGCAAAAAAGTTTTTTTCGAATTTTTTCGAATTTTTTGGAGTTTTTTTTTTTTTTTTTACCGTCTTTGGTCCTTGCACAGCCTGCCACTCCGGACCCGGGCGGCCCGGATGATAACCTAGAGTTGTTTGTATTATTATTCTGTACAACATGCGTTTTGTTCATTTTTTATTTATTTATTTATTTTTAACGTACGCGTACGTGTAATTTTAGGTTCGTACAGGTACGGGGTGCTACCCAGTATAAAAGGAAAAAATATATATATGATTACTGTGGACAGTGTGGAGGTTGCAATGCCCGCTGTGCAGCGTACTATCACATGTACGTCAAATTCTTCCTTGAGCTTTCTTACCGTCCATAGCGAGGATGCTTTTTTTTTCACTTTTTTTTTCCTTCCTTTCTTTTGCTTGTTTTTTCAATTTCGAACAAGTATCAAAAAGCAGATAAATATAAGAATCAAGCTCGACAGAATTCGGTTCGCAGTGAAATTCGGGCCCGACAAAAAACAGGTCAGGAGGTAGTAGTGGTTTAAATCACTTTCTCACTAGGCTACCAGTGGGGCCACCCACGTTACCTTGTTCACCCGTATGGCCTGGCCTTGCAAAGGCTAAAGTAGGTCAAAAAAAAAAAAAAAAAAACGTTTATACAAAACCCTCAAGTGAACAACTTTTGTTTAAGTGTCACACCAAAATTCTTCACCAAATAAATCATAAGAAATAAAGTCAGAAACTCGCCTACCAGAGTGGCCCGGGGGCACTTACCCGGCCTGGCAAAAAAATAATAATAATAGTCATAATCAGGGTCACCAACCCGTACGTACGGACGTCCCCGGGCAGACCTCAGTACGTACGGGCGTTCGGGGTCGCGTACAGGGTCGGACCTGACGGTGTTCTTCCCCTGCCAAAAATTATTTCAGGGCCTAAAAGTAATTATTTTTTTCTGAATGGTTTTTTGTGAGTTCTTTATGACGTGACATACACGCGTGTACATTTTCAAGTCATTTGGCCAAGCCAAATAAGAATTGAAAATCGTCACAGATGGCGGTGTCAAAACGTGCTCGCCCGCGTATTTTTTCACTTTTTACTTTTTGTTTTCACTTTAGTTCGGAGTCTAAACAATTTTATTATTTTTTGAAACTTTTTAAGTGGGTTTGGTATTATGTAAAGTACACATAAGGAAATTTTCAGGACATTTAGCTATACCAAAAAAAAATGAAAAATCGCCAAAGACGGTGGTGTGGAAAACATGCTCGTGCAATCACTAAATTTAGTTCTCTTTTGATTTATATTTACTTTTATTATTAGTATTTGTTTTCCGTATTTTATTTTTATTTCAAATTTAGTAAGGAATTCGGATATAATGCTCAGGCAAATCTTGTTTAGTTTATTTTTCTCCATAACATATCTTTTTTTTCAGAGTTTTTTGATAACTTTGTTTTTTTTTTTTTTGGGTCCGCGTTCGGGCCGAACGGCCGAAAGCATTCCCAAGGGGTCCCATACGTTCGGGCGTTCGGGTTCGGGCGTTCGGCCCATCCCGAACGCCAGTTAATAGTTTTATTTTTTATTTTAAATATGATAAAAACTTTCGATGTGACCCTGATGCAAAAGTTGTTGAGTTTATTTTTCTACATAATATAGTTTCTTTTCGGATTTTTTCTAGGCTATCAGAGTAGCCCCAACCCACTTACCCAGCGCAAAAAAAAAAAAAAAAAAAAAAAAAAAAAAAAAAAATAAAAAAATCTTAATTTAATTCTGCATTTTAAATTTGGTAAAGAATTTCAATACAACCCTGAGGCAAACGTTGTCAATTTATTTTTCTGCATAAGATAGTTTTTTTTTGGATTTTTATGAATTTGTTTCATTTTTTTAGTTCGGATCTTCTCTGGTCCTTGCACGACCCCGCCCCCGGCAGCCCGACTGGTAGCCTAGGTTAAAAACAATTTTTTTATTTTTAATTTATAACTTTATTTGGCACGACCAAGCAAGTGGTCTAGGGCCATTCTGGTAGCTCTGCTTCCTTATTTATTTTTTAAAGTTTTTGCCATTTTTTTAAGTGTTATCCTATACTACCACAGTGGCCCGAAACCACTGATCCGGTCGGGCAAAAGTAAAAAACAAAAACCATAAAAACATTACTTTTTTTTTTTAATTTGGTTTAGAATTTCAATGTCACCCTGTGGCAAAAGTTGATCAATTTCGTTATCTGAATAACACAGTGTTTTTTCAAA